CACTTCTGAAGCTGTGGGGAAGTGGCTGGGATCTTAGCCACAGCGCTTTTTCCTGTATTCAAATAACCCCTTAGACGGTGGCTCCAGCCACCTTTCCCTTTTGAGGTGTGCATTTGTTTCGCGAGGGGCAACCATAATTTCATCAACAAAGGGGATTTAAAAAATGTTTTCATATCCTGGTAACTGCAGAAATGAAACAAAACAGCTATCTGATGTTGACTATCTAAAAATATTGTGAAGATTCGCCATCAAGTACAGATAGTTGAAAATTCTAGAAAATACACACCAGCTCATAAAAATATATTAAAACTGGAATGTGGAATTTTTATTTTCAAACTCAGTGGGATGGTGAGAATCTTTCTCTGATTAAAAGGCTGGGTAGGGTTTGATGAGACATTTATTGACCAGGCTGACTGGTTCATTTAATATGAGAATTACAGGGCAAATTCTCAAGGGCCCAGACAAGGCCATCTTGTTTTGAAAAGTGCAGCCTTTCCCGGCTGCCTGTTCATTGGGCCACTTGAACATGTTTTCTGTGGCTCAGAGGCTCCCGGCTAGGGGAGCCTGCAGTAGGTGACACTAGCACATTCCCACGTCCTTAGACTTCCCTTTCACATTTCGCATGCAAGTTGGAATTCTTAGACACAGTGTGTCCTGTGTTGTAATTGTTCTGATTGCTTTCCCTACTGGTCTGTGAAGGCACTGAGGGCACACAGGTTCACACACACACACACACACACACACACACACACACACACACATCCACTCACACATGGGGTCAGCCTTCTGGGAAGCAGGAAGAGATGGAACTTCCGCAAAGCAGAGAGTTCCATGCCTGATGCTCAGCACTCTGGACTCTGAATGCAGCAATCTGAGTTTAAGTCTCCGTGAGACCTGGGTTTTACCCTCCCGGCTTCTGTCCCAATCACACAGTCTTTTTTTTTTCTTTTCAAAGTTTTATTGATAAACATATAGTAATGAGACAGTTTCAAATCAAATCGAAAGTACAGTTTCAACAAATAATACACTGCATATATTCTTCTTAGTGGTTAATTGCTGT